GACCAGGCTGGCCTCAAACTCAGATTTGCCTGCCTCTGCCTCCTGGATTAAAGGCATGTGCCACCACAACCAGGCCTGACTTAAATTATTTTTAAGTAGCCCAGAGCCAGCTCGTCCTATGGAGGAAGGGCAAGAGCAAGAGACAGAGTCTGGACTTCGGGGAGAAGTAGGGAGTAGAAGAGTATGAGGGATGGGAGAGGGGGGCACTTCCCTGGGGGTCCCTCACAGGGAAGGCAGAGATCTAACTAGAGTGGCAACTAGAGAAGGCAGAAGGGCTACATGGGAGATCCAGACTATTCACTCAGAGGCCGTGGCTTCTCCCTCCTCAGCTGGGGACTCCACCTGGTCATCCTGGGAGCTGGAAGCCTAAGTTGATACTAATAGTAGCAGTAACAGGGTTTTCACTGAGCATTTTCAAGAGCAGAGAGAGAGAGAGAGAGAGAGAGAGAGAGAGCACACACTGCTTTACAGATTCTTGTATAATTTTTAGAATCATGTAGTGAACTGAAATAACATGGATTTATAGAAGGAAACTGAGGCAGAAAGGTCAGTAGGGTTCTACTCAAACTCTCACATCAAATCTGTCACAATGGGTATAACTCCAGGGCCCTGTAAACACAGAACCCCTGTCTCCACCCACCAGGCTCTGGCACTGCAGGTGGGCTGGGCCCCAGGACCCTGGGCTCCAACCAGGACAGATATGGAGGGTAAAGTAAAACCCTGAAGGTGAGATTTTATGTTCCTCTTTGTTAGGCAAGGGAAAGAGTTTGCCACTGGTCACCCAGAACCACCAGCTAGACAGAGGGCAGAAATGCCCTGGTCTGCTCTGCTCAACTTCCTTCCTTCCTTCCTTTCTCCCTTCTTACCTCCCTCCCCCCTCCCTCCCTCCCTTCCTTTCTTTTTTCAAGATAGGTTTTTTTTTTTTTTTTTTTTCTGTAGTTTGAAGCCTGTCCTGGAACTCACTCTGTAGACCATGCTGGTCTGTCTCTTCCTCCTGAGTGCTGGATTTAAAGGTGTGCACCACCACACCTGACCACTATCACCACTACACCAGGCCCCTAAAGTGTTTTCATGGACATTAAATGGATTGACAGATGTTTTCTCCAAAACCCAAGGCTGTCTGCTGAATGGCAACAGATGAGAAGACTGCAGGCCAGTATCCTGGAGCAAAACTCAAGATAATTCAAGCCCCTTTGTTCTTAGACACAAAGAAAAGAATGGCTGGTCAACTGGACACTTGCAGGTGCCTCTCCAGGGGGCCTGCAGTCCTGTGATGTCACAGATCCAGATACCCATATCAGTTTTAAAACAGCAAAATCATGTTGTAGAATAATCTTTCCATACACTGAGAAGATGTGTCACTCTGGTTGGTTTAATAAAGAGCTGAACCTCCAATCGCTAGGCAGGATTTCCAGGCACAGAGGATGCTGGGAAGAAGAGCAGAGGAAGTAAGACATAGAAGATGAGGTAACAAGCCACAAGCCACATGGCAGCGTCTAAATAAATAGAAATGGATCAATTTAAGTTATAGAGCTAGTTAGAAACAAGCCTGAGCTATCGGCAGAACACCATAACAAATAGTAAGTCTCCGTGTAGTTATTTGGGAGCCAGCTGGTGGGACAGAGGAAGACTCAATACATAGTCCCTGCTTATCTTGATGTCTTCAGCCCTGAATGGGGAGGAGAGGGACTGGGTGAGTCCAAGATACGTCAGTCTCCACTGCCAGTCCTCAACAGACATCCCTGAACTGACAGTTATGCCTACCTGCATAATGGAAGCATGGCCCAAGGCTAAGGTCACATGTGCCACTCACCCTGTCATATTTTGACAGGCCCAGTGAAGTAACACAGGTGACCGTCAGCATCACAGCCCATGTGGCAGAGGTGTATGTGCACAGAGCAATGGAGGGACCACTATGGTGCTCAGTTGATTTAGTGTGTTCCTTGACTCACTTCCTTTACCAGGACAAGGCCTCCCTATAAGCCTGCCTGGCCTTGGACTCTTGATTCTCCTGCCTGTCTCCTGAGTTCAGCAAGTAGCGTTTTCCACCTCACCTGGCCTCAAATTACTGATATTTTATTTCTCTTCTTTTTCTTTTTTTCAAGATAGGCTTTCTCTGTGTAGACCTGGCTATCCTAGAACTCACTCTAAAGACCAGGCTGGTCTTGAACTCAGAGAACTGCCACCTCTGCCTCCCAAGTGCCAGGACTAAAGGAGTGCACCACCGCCATAGTGACATTTTAAAAGAAAACTTGATTGATTGTTTATTTTGCTAGGCAGTGGTGGCACACGCCTTTAATCCCAGCACTTGGGAGACAGAGGCAGGGGGATCTCTGTGAGTTCAAGACCAGTCTGGTCTACAGAGCAAGTTCCAGGCAACCAGGAATACACAGAAAAAAACATCTTGAAAAGCAAACAAACAAAAATATTGTTTATTTATCTTTGTGTGTGAGAGAGAGGGGTGGGGCTGGAGTACTTGCAAGAGTTGCTTCTCTCTTTCCATCATGGGGCTCCAGGGATTGAACCCATGGTGTTAGATTCAGCAGCAAACTTCTCCTGAGCCATCTCACTGGCCCAGAATTAGTGATTTTTACAGTCAACAAAAAAGCCCAGTATGGTGGTTCATATTTGTAATTCTAGCACTTTGGGAAACTAAGGCCTGGGCTGGTGAGTGAAACCCTGCCCCCCCCCCAAAAAAAAAAAGTAGAAGAAGAAGAAAAAAAAAAGCAAGAACCAAAAGAAGAACCAAAACCAAAAGTACCCAAAAAGCAACTGTGTATATGCTGTACATGATCTCAACACTGGGAGGGAGGTAGAGGCAGGAGATGCATGGTGTGATCTCGGTACACAATATGTGGTTGTGCATTCCTATGATCTCGACATACAATGCATGGTTGTGCATTCCTGTAATCTCAGCACACAATGCATGGTTGTGCACTGCTGTGATCTCAGCACTTGGGAGGTGAGCAGGAGGGTCAGGAGTTCAGGGCTACTTTAGCTACATGGTGAGTCTGAGGCCAGTCTGGGCTGCATGAGATGGGTATGGTATTTCACACCTTTCATTCCAGCACTCAGGAGGCAGGGGCAGGCAGATCGCTGCAAGATGAGGCCAGCTTGGTCTACACAGCTAGTTCCAGGACAGATAGAGCTACACAGTGAGATCCTGTAATAAAATAAAGTTAAATTTAAAAGGGGGGGGGTGCTAGAGAGATGGCTCACCAGTAGTTAAGAATGTTTGCTGTTTTTTCAGAGAAACAGATACTGGGTCTCAGCATGAAGGGTGGCTCTTACCTGCCTCTAACCACAGATCTGAGGGGTTTGACACTCTCTTCTGACCTCTGGGGGCACGGCACTCATGTGCACAAACCCACACTCAGATACACACATATGCATATAATTTAAAAAATTAGAAATCCAATCAGTTCTTAACTTTTAACAAAAAAAGAGAGAGAAGAAAGAGAAGGAAATCAATTAAAAGCAGCTGAGGTTGGAAGGTTTATTTTTCCCCAAATCACAGCCCAACACACCCAAGAGCCTTCAGGAGGAGACAGGAGGGTGGGGCTTCTTGAGTGAGCTCAGGTCTAAGGCCCAGAAAGAACATCGCTTTTTCTTTTCCAGAGGCTATCCCAGAGCATGTGACCTGGGTCTTCCTGGAGCTGCCTGACCATGATGTTTGTCATTTGAGTCTGGAATAGTTGGGGGAGCAAAGACTGCAAAGGCTCTTGGGAAGTAAGAAACTTCCTAGGGCCAGGTTTATTATTGCCCTTCCTCTGCCCCGAGTCACCCAAGCTAGCCTTGTTCTTCCACTTTATCTTCAGGCCCAGAGACCTCCCAGGTGGGCACAACTTCCTGAAATTTGTGAGTTGGGATAGGAGGTGCGGGACCATGGATCCTCTGTTCTTTCCTTCCTCCTTAGCGTGGACTCACTCACCTGGATACAGCAGCTCAGGGGCAGGTGGACTTGGCTCTCCTTGACCCCTGCTCCCTACTGCACGAGCTGGGTGGGAGACGAGTGTCTTGGGCCAGTGTGGTCTCCAGTTCTGGCTTTGGCGTTGGAGGCCTGGACAAGTCATTTCCAAGTTCTGAACCCAAATCGAATATCCAAGCCAATGGTGAGACCCTCAGGAAAGTTTCCAAGGATGAGACAGCTTAGGGCTGGACCCCAGTCAGGCTGGGTACCTGGGCTGCTTTGACATTTTGGAGGGATGGGAACTCCAAAATAGTACCTGGAGGCCATGGCACAGCATGGGATCAAGTGGTTCTGGAACAAGGGCCATCTGGTTTGTACCCAGTCCTGATGCATCTCAGCTCTACGCTCTTGGGCAAGTTGTTTAAACTCTTGGCTCCTTAATTCCTTCTCCAGGCTTACTATGGTTCATAGCAGTATTCATTCATTCATTTGCAATACTGAGAACTGAACCCATAGCCACTTGGTAGGGAAATAATCTACCACTGAGCCATATTCCCAGTCCCAAATATACCATTGACATTTTCTTTTGTTTATGCTGTCCTGTAGGCTCCTGCGCTGGGCAGGAAAGAAAAGCCCACCTGTGTGAGGATGCCTGGGGCCAGACGGGAGGTGCCTCGGTGTCATTCTGCTCTGCTATGTCTGTCCTCATTACGGTTGTCAGTTGGTGTGCTCTGGGGGAAGGCATAGGTGCCCCTGTCTCCATAGCACACAGGCTGAAGTTGTGCAGACATCCTTATCCTCTGCCCACCTGAGCTTCCTCAGACACAATGAACCGACCAGGCAGATGGTGGGATCCACTCTATAGGGGCACGAAGCTGAAACCTGCTCTGTCTAGTTGCACTTCTGTTACCTGGGAGCTGAGAGAAAGGCCCCCACCCTACTGCTGTGAAGGGAACAGGTGTTCCTCAAGGCACAGGTTCCAGAACTCCAGATGTCTTGAAGTGTACCTGGTCCCATCAAAGGCTGAGCAGGTGTCTGTCCCCTGGGAATGCCCAGGGAGTGATGGCGCAACACAGAGAAGAATCATGGGTGGGAGTGGGGCTCAGGTTTTATTTGGAATCATTAAAAAAAAAAAATTGCAGCAGCATCTGATCTGTGGGATCCAAAGATAGGGCAAAAGGAGCCAGCAGGGGGCGCTGGAGCTGGCAGCAGCATGTGTGGACAGACTTGTGGCACCAGGCTGGGAAGCAGAGAACACGGGCACCTGCAGGGCACTGTGGGCAGGGCACTTGTTGTGCCAGTGGGGACAGGGTCCAAGGCAGAGGGGTGTCCCTTGGGCCTCTGTGGCTGATGGCAGCATCCTAGTCTCCTCCACTCTTGGCCTGGTAGGGAGGGGAGGGAGGAAGAGAGACACGCCCAGCTCCAGGCCCACAGCAGCCCCTGACCACCTGGAAAGGGTCACTTATGAGGAGGCCATGCATTCAGTCCTAGGGCTGCCACACCCATGTCCCTGTGGGAAGCTGTGGAAAATTTCCCAGGACTCAGAAATGAAGGAGGTTTATGTGGCTCGGGTCTCTACCAGAAATTTCTGGTGTGCCCTGGGAGCCCTGCTCTTACCTCTTCGTCCTCCTCTTGCTCTTTGGCTTCCTGGTCCTGTGCAGGAGCAGGTTGTTCCAAGTCCTCCTACAGGGTACAAAGAGGACGCAAGGCTGTGGGACACTGCTTCTCAGCTGCCTGCAGACAGGGCCTCCCCTGCCAGGTCTCACTGATGAGCAGAGGCCCTTCCTCGTCTTATTGAACTTAGAACGTCTGGAGGTGCCAGATTCCCAAGATGTCTACATGTACCAGATACCCTGCAACCCAGCTTCAACTTCTACAAATAGATCCCGAGTCATGGGTACCTGCTTCCCTGCATGCTTAGGCTTCTTAGGTGAGGGAGTCTGAAGATGTGAAGTAAGGTTGGGAGTGAGCAGAGACCCTTGATTCACATGAACCCCTCACTCAGGCCATGTGAACATCGTTGTTCACAGAGACTCTGAGGGCAGTAGTCAAGGCCTACTAATGCCAGGCCTCAAAGCTCAAAGTGCCAGGGTTTGTTGACATAGGTCCTGCTTGCTCCAGGACCTTCTTCTGGCCTTTGAGATGGGCTCTTGACTCAGGCCTGTCTTCTGTCTCCAACTCATCACAGCAAATGCTTACATGGTCACGGTAGCAGGGAGTTTGGAACCAGACTGATGGTCTGTCTGAAGTCTGTTCTCAGACCTGTGTTTCCTCAGGACCAGAAGCAATGACAGACAAAATGACACAGAACTGTCAGCCAGGGTCACACAGAGCCAGGCTCTTTGGATGAAGGGCAAGCAACTGCTTGCCTAGGCATACTACCCCAAGAATGGCTCCTGAAACCTGTGGCATGAGTGATCAGACAGCCACACTGCGTTCTTGAAGTTCATTGGTAGGGCTAGGAGGGTATGGTGTCAGAACTAGTTTATGTGTCCTTGGTACAGCTCCAAGGGCTCAGTAGCTTCTTCGGGGTTAGCTAGTGGTCTCCTGAAACTTGCTCCTAGGACACTTCTTGCTAGGGGCTTGGGAGGACGCTTCCTGGGGTGCTTATAGCAGTGGTGATAACGATGGTGGAGGGGGATGCTCACCATGTGCCTGGCAGAACTGCTTCCTGGAATCCTTTCTCTGCCTTCTCCCACAGCCCCATGCGATGGTATCATTTTAGAGGAAGAAATGTGGATCTGGATAGAATCTCTTTCCAAAATCACACAGAGGTATGCCAACATGCTCCAGTGACCAAGGACCCTGTGCTGGGCCTAGCAGCAGGTGTTGGGGTGGGTGACCCCTCCCCTTTCACCCACTCTTCAGAGAAGACTTCTGCAGTATTGGCTGGGTATGACCCTGGGGCTCCACCACTGGGGTAGCCTGTTTTAAATATGGGGGCTATGACAAGATAACAAGTCTTTGGACTCAGTTTCCTCCCCAGCCTCCATCCTGGAATCCCCATCCCTGAACAATCTATACTCAGTCTTTCAAGAGTGTGTAGCTCATGAGCTGGCCACTCTTGGAGGCTCCATGCTCACACAGACTAGACATGTGACTGTGGCTCATCACCTAGTGTCTCTGGGCTTTCCTTTCCACATCCTGTTTTGTGGAATTTGGGAGCCCATTAAAAGGGTACGTGTAAAATGCTTAAAGCAGAGCTTATTGTTTGTCAAGTGCCGAGACAGCTCCTACCTCTGGTATCTATCCCCAGAGAGCCTGATGGTCCTGTTCTTTCAGCTGTCTGCCACACACGCACACCCGTTCACACATGCATACATTTCCACCATTCCTACAATGAACGTACAACCCACATGCTCACACAAAGACTTCAGCAGAGGGTGGAACCAGAGCTCTACTCTTTGTCCACCACAAGTGGGCAGTGCGTTCCCCACCTCTTCATGGGGAGGCAACAGCCAGACCATGGGACAGAGGGAGGTTGGACAAAGGATAACAGGTAGCCCTGGTGCTAGCTAGGAAGCTTCAGCCTGTCTAGAAGGCTGCCTTTCACCATATAGGGCCTTGGCTCACTTGTAAAATGTATTCCTATATGCCAAATGTGATGGGCTGGGTATGGTTTGTGTTTCACTTTCCTTGTGCATAAAATGAATCCCAAGTCCCTGGTCATGGGATGCGGTGAAGATTCCAGATATGAACAGGTATAAAGATACCAAACTGCCCCCCAACACACACAACACTCTTTCCCCGAGTGCCCCAAGTGTCTTCTGTTGCCAGGGAGCCCAGGGAAAGGACATGCGCTGGGCTTACCTTGCGTACCACCCCAGTGGTGACCACGATGTTTTCTGCCTCCTCCACAGTCTTGGTGGCCACCGTGTGGACACTGTTGACCACAGCTTCGCTGACGGCATTGGCCTGCTCCTTGGTCTTCTCAGCCACTGCAGAGGACCCCAGCTGGACTCAACCCCAGCCCTCTCCACTGCTGCCTACCCAAGCTGGGGCGAACATCCGCTTCCCAGCGCTCAGATGTCTGACTCCTGGTTATTTCCATGCCTTTCTCTAACTCTAGGGCATCAGCAATGTGAGGGACGAGGGATGGGGTGAAGGCTGGGGACGGGTGGGAAGAGCCTACTCTGGTTTGTCTTCAGGGGAATACAGTAGTTTGGGTCACCTGGGGCTTAGAGTTCCAGTTAACACAAGGAGGACTGTAGGTGGGTATAGGGCAGGGTTCTTGGGGTCCCTGATTGCGGCTGCCTTACCTGAGGTTACGCTTTGTACCACATTCTCCTTGGTTTTGGTGCCTAATGGAGGGAAAAGGTGTTCAGGCAGTCAAGGCCAATAGCTGGGCATCCTGGGGCGGGGGCGGGGGCAGGATGGGATGAGGATGGAGTCTGGGGACAGCAGCCCCTTCAAAGGGATATTTCCTGCTATGTCTAAATGACAGAGAACAGACGGGAAGGAGACAGGACAGGAAGAGGGGACAAAAGAGACCAGGCCTAAGGTAGGGTCACTGGTGGGTCTGTGGCCCTCACATGGGTGTGGCCCAGGCCTCAGAAGCAGCAGCTGAACAGGGCAGAGAAAGCTGAGTCACAGGCTTGGCCACCCCTGCCCCCTCTTTGGAGGGAGTCCAGAGACGTGGGGTGGGTTCAACACTCAACTGGGCCCATCTCCACAGCCTACCCCTTCCCTCTAGGCCAAGGGGGCTCATGTGGCCTGGCTTGGCTGCAGCAGCTTCCATTGAAGAAAGTGGGGTCCACATGAGAAGACCATTGCCTCCGGGTCCCCAGGCTTAGGAAACCCCGACATGTGTATAATGCTTTTGTATGCAAACACTCCGGTGGTCTGAGTAGCACTCTGATCCTGTCCTAGCGACCTCAGAGTCCTCTCCCTCTCAAAGTTCCAAAGACAACTAGATACTGGCATATTCTCCAGGGTGTGTGGACCCTGCCTCAACAATCAGAGTTTCATATCTCTCAAAATGCTCCCCAGAATCTAGGGGGAATCAGCAGAGAAAAGGTAGGGGGATCCGACCCTCCTCCATTAGGGAGCCCTCTGCCCCGCCCTGCCCCGCCCCACCTGCCACACTCACCCACATACATGACCCCCTCCTTGGTCTTCTCAGCTGCCTCCGTCACTCCCTGCTTGGTCTTCTCCACAGCACCAACCACACCTTCCTTGGCAATGGAGAAACCTTTCTTGAAGACATCCATGGTGGTTGCAAGGATGGGACCGGACTGCTGCGAGCTACTGACTGGAGCCGGCAAGTGCTGCTGCAGCCGCTGTCCCTACTGCCGCCGCTGCCTCTTATTGACGCGGATGAAATATTGATGCTGTGGCTGCTGGCTGGAGCCCAGCCAGCCCAAGGCAGGGTGGGGGCAGGGAGGGCTGGCTGGAGAAAAGCATGTCCCAGGGGGGACACCAGAGAGCAGGGCCGGGGCCCCTACTGGCTCAGTTCTGCCTTTCTGCCTCCTGTCATCCTAGGGGAGGGGGACTTGTAGGAGGCAAGACATATTCTAATCTGTCGTTGTCCCTCATTCATCCTTGGAAAACCATGGTGGTCTTGTGCCCAGAAGATAAGTGCCTCACTCAGCCGGTGCCTCAGTATCTCAGGTTGGCGGGAGTCACAGCCTGTCCAGTGAGGGATCAACCTGAAGGCTGCCCACAGCATCGTAGATGCCCCTGAGCCTGGAGCTCCAGTCAAACCTGTCAGAAAGCCGAGACCAGAAACACACAGAGCTTCCCCCGTGCCCTGGACAGGGTTATATGCTGTGTGATTCTAGCATAGCTCCTTTCCTTCTCTGAGCTCCTTCCCACCTGCTGCTTCCCAGCACCAAACAGTGCTGAGAAGGCATGATGTGCTGCTCCCCACTTCCTGACCAGCAGTGTGGGTGGCACTAGATCTCCGGAGGCTGACACTACCGTTCTATCTCCAGACCCGGAACAGTGTCCTGAAAGCCATTTGGCTTTGATAAGGCCACCCTCCTGTGTCTCCCACACCCCCAGTGTCCTAATTCAAGTGCCCTTAGGACACAGGAATTGGCCTGAGTGGTTGATGACCTCAGAGGGGGCCAGGCTGGGGGGGGGGGCGGATGAGACTTACCGGGTGGGCCGGACCAGGCCACTTCCTCCCTTTGTTGTCCCCATGTTTTCTTTTCTTTCTGAGATTTTACTTGAAGACCACATCTCCAGCAAATTTTGGAGTCACTTGCAAGGTTGAGCCTCAGCGGGACCAGCTAAGCCTGCCCCTCACCATGATCCTGGCACTGATGCTGGGCCTCAGGGGGTACCTGGGCTGGGGACTTCTGGGCTGGGGACTTTTGAGAGCCTGGGCACAGGACCCTGGTGCCAGGTTCTCTGATCTCAAAAGGTCCAGGGTGCCTTCAGGCTGGAAAATAGAGGCTGCGGATACTAGCGGAGATCCCATCGGACGGTAAGGAGATCCTGGTCCATGCCAGAGGTCTTGGGATAATAGCCGAGTCCCAGATACGTATATGTGGAATGGGCTGATTTGTGGCTAACGGGCCCTAGTTTCCTGGATCTGGTACTTCAGGGCCCAGACTGAGGATGCTAGGGAAGTCTCTGCTTGACCCTTAGCAGGGACTTCAATTGGGGCTTCAAAAGGGGAAGTAGCTCCCACTATCAGCTACCAGCATGGGACTCAGAGGGAATGATGCTCTAGATGCTTCCAGCTGCTGAGGCTGCAGCTTCTTAGCCCTGAAAGCTGAACCACAGCAAGGCTGGCCCAGGCTGAGCCCTAGGGGACAGCTGCTCCCAGAGGAGGTCTTTGGCTCTAAGGGCCCAAAGTACCAGGCCAGGATTGAACACTGAGTGAGGGCTCCAGGATCTCAAGAACACATGGCTGCAGGGAGTCCTAGAGCTACTTCACAAGGCCTCCTGGATGGGCAGGATATAACTGACACCAGACGTGGTTTTCTGACATCTTCTTTATGCTTAGAGGTACCTAGACTTTGGGTCTATCCCTGAGGGCTTTGAGTCTCATGAGTGAATGTGTCCAAGATAGAATGTAGGTGCCACTTGCCAGGCCAACTTCTGGGGCTCCGCTTTCCAAGTATCATTTTTCCCAACAACCTTTCTCATAGTGTCTGAGTGACTTGCCCCAGGTGACAGCCAAAGAGAGCTAACCTTTGCTTTCATACCCAGCTCTCTGAGTGGCACCCAGCTTTCGTACCCAGTCCTCTATCTGTAAGGCTGAGCGGCCAGCTCACACCCATCACAGCCTCCCAACTACATATGAGAGGGTCAGTGATAGGCTTCCCAGACAAATCTGCCTGGGCCAGGTTTCCATCTGTTTCTGACACCCCCAGGCTTAGCCAGGGAGAAGCGGCAGGGTGATCAGGAGCAAGCGTTGCTTAGTGAGGAAGGGGGTGGGTCTGGTGGGGTAGGGAGAAGAGATGCCCTGTCCCCCAACTAGGCTACTACAGGCTCAGGAGCACAGGCGACTGTTGATGGGGGCAATCCTGCCACCCACCTCTGACATCAGGACTAGGGACCAAGGCTCTCCTCCACAAAGCCAGCAGCAGTAGCAGTCCCAGTCAGCAAGTTCCTCCTCCCTCAGTGAAGGCAAGGATGGAGAACTTGAGGAGCCGGGAGGGAGGAGCTTTGGTCCTTGCTCTCCCACCTCGTGGGTGTGGAGAGGGCCTGCTTGCTCCTTAGCCCCCAAGAGCAGAGGGTCTTCCATCTTTCCCTGGATGGTGTTGCAGTAGGCTCCAGTGACTAAAGGGTCTGTGCATGCTGTACAAGGTCCAGGAATGCCCAGGCCACCCCAGCTAGGACTCCTGCCTGCTGGGGCTTCCTTTCTACATCCTCAGAAGCTTGGACCCCACAGTCCAAGCCTAAGCTATTGAAATATCCGGAGAGCCTGGTGGGAAAGGAAGGAAATACCGTCACTTCCTGGGCTGATTGCTTCCCATGTTCTTGTGACAGGAGGCAGAAGGGCTCAGGTCCTTGGGCACTGTGTTTCACTACGCCATCATCGGTGGTGGGGGTGGGCATGGGCATCAGTCACCAAATCTCTTGCCAGAGTCAGGCCTCCTGCTCTCTAATTGGCCTTCCAGTTTCCAGAGACCTGGGACCAGACAGGCCCTAGACTTACGGGGTAAGAGCCTTTGGAAGAACCAAGGAACAGAACAAGTTGGAGCTTTCACAGCCTGTGTGCAGAGACTGCCAGGTTCCAGGGCAGAAGAGGGACATTGTTAGTTGCTTCCTAAGCCCCTGGAAATCCTACAGGGGCAGGGGCAGGGAACTAGCAAGGAACCCCTTTGGATGTCACAGGGAAGATGTTCTTACTTCCTCGATTTGGTTGTGTGTATAGAATGTGGGCTCCTCACACACAAATCAGCCGCTCCAGAGAAACTGGGTTTGTGGTAGGGGCTGTGCTAAATCTGGGAGAGATGGCCTATCTTCTATATCGTTGTGACATCTCAGAGGGGTGGGGTTGGCATTCAGGGCCTCAGATTTCATAAGGGTTGGCCCAAGTATACCCTGTCCCAACCCACTCCCATGCAGGGTGGGAGTATAAAGTATTACTCCCAGTAGCAGTCTCTTCCTAAGGGAAGGAACACTGGGGACTTTTGTGGCTAGTAGCTCAAGGCCCAGAGCTGTCCATCATGTCACCATAGGTCACACAGCAGCAGAGTGGAGCAATACTGTGCCCTTGTACCTGTTCCAGCTCCTGGACGCAGGGTTCTGGGCATAAAAAGAACCCCAGAGCCTGGGGCCGAGGCGCCTTAGCCCGATACTCAGTGAGTCCCAGGCTCAGGCTTTTGAATGGGCCTTGGTCTTCCCTGCCAAGATGTACCAGCACTCCACCACTCCCCGTCTAGGGACAAAGCCCCAGGAGGATGCCTTCCCTGGGGTGGTCACACTAACCTCTGGATGCAGGCCTCAGAGAACAGGCAGCCAGGAAAGACACCCTCAAGCCAGGAAGGACCTGTAGAGATGGGCTCCTTGGCTGGCAAATGCACATTCTTGCTAAGGCAACCATGGCAGGCAGCTGAGGCACATCCATTATGCAGAAAGCGCAGCCCCTCCCTTCTACAGGCTCTGTCAGCCTTCCCCACAACCCCTCTCTTTGTCTCCAGGGACACAGCTTCTGCACATTTCCAGGAGTGGGAGGAGGGCCTGGCTCAAGGTCACCAGAGTCCAGGAAGGAAAGGGGAGGAGAGCTTCAGGTTTCCGAGTTCCCACTCAGGCTCAGCATCCCCTCCGTTTGTGCCATACAGGGTCGGGGACAGACCCTGTGTTCACTTGACTGACACCTGATCCTCAGTATACCTTCTGGGAGATGGGGGTGCCCAGCAGGGCTCCTCATAGGAGGGGACAAAAGAGGGAGCAGCCCAGGCAGAGGGCAGTGCGAACAATGGGCTACTTCAGCATGTCAAGCCTGGGGCACATGTGCTGAGGGCCTCCCAGGAGCTGCCAAGAGCCGGAGGAAACCAAAGCAAAGGTTAGGAATTTTCCCAGGGCTTTCAGGCTGGCTGCATGTGCTGTGCCAAGCGGGGAGCTGCCAAGGGAGGGGAGAGCCCGCAGTGTGGCAGCTCAGAAGAGAAAGTTCCTAAGCAGGAAGGGTGGGCAGCACAGATTTCAGTTCAAGAGGGAGAGCTGGAAAGTCCCATCAGTCCTGGCAAGCTGGACCAGGCCAGACGCCCCCCCTCTCTCCCCGCCCCAGGCACAGCCCTCCTGGTCTCTCGAACAAGCTTCAAGGTGTGTGAGGTGGAGCTTGTTTACATTTGATCTCAGGCATTCTGGACTGGATAATTCATTATCATTGGAGTGTGACATTCACTGGCCCAAGATGTTCTCTCTGTCTCTCCCTGTCTGTATATCTATCTGTCTGTCTATCAATCTGACTCTCTCTCTCTCTCTCTCTCTCTCTCTCTCTCTCTCTCTCTCTCTGTGTGTGTGTGTGTGTGTGTGTGTGTGTGTGTGTGTGTGTGTGTGTGCGTGCAGGCGCTCATGTATACCCGTATGTGAGAGCAAGAGATTGACATCAAACGTTCTCAATCACTCTTCATCTTGTTTTTGAAGCAGGGTCTCTCACTGAGCTCAGAGCTCCCTGACTCAGCTACACCAGTGGGCCCACAAACCCCAGAGACCCTCCCGCCTCTTTCTGCCTCCCCAGAGCTGGGATTACAAGTGCATTCAACCACGCCTGGCTTTTTCATGGGTGCTGGTGACCCAGACTCAGGCTCTTGTGCTTGCACAGATAAGTGCTTTGGCAGCAAGCCCTTGTTACAACATTTTCACACATTTGCATTATGTATTTGGTCATATTCACACCCTCTTACCCTCTCCTGTTCTCCCTCATCCCAGGTTTCTTCCTCTACTTTGTCTCGTTTCTACTTTCAGGCTTTTTGCTTTTAAGTCCAGGTTCTGCCTATGAGAATATGCATGAGATAATTGTTTTTCTGAGTGCAGCTTACTTCCCTTAATATGGTGATCTCTAGTTCCATTAATTTTCCTGCAAATGCCATTATTTCAATCTTCTTAATCACTGAATATATAACACATATGCACACACACATACACACCACATATATGTTATACATATGTAAGGTTTTCTTTCTTTTTAAAAAAGATTTATTTATTATATACACAGTGTTCTGCCTGCATGTATGTCTGCAGGCCAGAAGAGGGTACCAGATCTCATTACAGATGGTTGCGAGTCACCATGTGGTTGCTGGGAATTGAATTCTCAATCTCCAGAAGAGCAACCAGTGCTCTTAATCTCTGAACCATCTCTCCAGCCCCTGTTTTGTTTTTGTTGTTGTTATTTGTCTGTTTTTGTTTGTTTTCTGCTTTTTGTTGTTTGCTTTGCTTTGTTTTTTGGTTGGTTGGTTTTTGTTCTAGACAGGGTTTCTCTGTCTATCCTTGGCTATCCTGGAACTCTCTCTACAGACCAAGCTGGCCCAGTGCTAGAATTAAAGGCATGCACAACCACTGCCTGGCTACCTTGTTTGTTTTTGAGACAGAGCCTCCATGAAGCCCAAGCTGGTTCATGTTGGCTTGGGATTGTAGGCATGCATCACCAAGACCAGCTAGCTCTCTGTAGTAGTTGAGGGACATCTACATTGATATCCACTAACTTACATTCTCACTGTCCCTCACTCCCGCCTCCATCTCCTGGCCAGCATTCCTGTTTCATTTTGTTTTGATACAGGGTCTCTGGTAGCTCAGACTGGCTTGAAACTCCCTGTTGTAGCTGAGGGTGACCTTGAGCTACTGAATCTCCTGCCTTGCCTCCTGCCTCTACTTACCAAGTAGGATTACATGTAAGTAGCACCATACATCACTTTTCCTATTTTCTTTCTCTCTTCTTTTCTTCCTTCCTTCCTTTTTTTTTTTTTTTTTTTTTTCTTTTGAGATGTGGTCTTAAGTATTCTAGGTGCTGACCTAGAACTTTCTATGTAG